TGAGGGCTCCAGAGCTGGATCCAGGACTCCAGGTGAGGTCTCGCCAGAGTGGAGCAGAGGGCCAGAATCACCTCCCTTGTTCTCCTTGCCATGCTGCTTTTGATGCAGCCCAGGATACGGTTGGCCTTCTGGGGTCTGAGCACACGTTGCCGAGTCATGTTGAGCTTCTCGTCAACCAGCACCCCCAAGTCCTTCCTCTCAGGGCTGCTCTCAATCCCTTCTCCACCCAGCCTGTATTTGTGCTTGGGATTGCCCTGACCCATGTGCAGCACCTTGCACTTGGCTGTGTTGAACTTCATGAAGTTCACACAGGCCCACCTCTCAAGCCTGTCCGGGTCCCTCTGGATAGAATCCCTGCCCTCTAGCATGTTGACTGCACCACACAGCTTGATGTTGTCGGCAAACTTCCTGAGGGTGCACTCAAACCCACTGTCCATGTCACCGACAAAGATGTTAGACAGTCCAGTCCCAATACCGACCCCTGAGGAAGACCACTTGCCACTGGTTTCCACTTGGACATTGAGTCGTTTACTGCAGCGGCTCTTTGAATGTGACCATCCAGCCAATTCCTTATGCACCGAGTGGTCCATCCACCAAATCCATGTCTCTCCAATTTAGAGACAAGGATGTTTTGCAGGACAGTATCAAATGCTTTGCTAAAGTCCGGTCACTAACACTGTTACTTCATTATCGAAGGCCACAAAAATTGTCAGGCATGATTTACCCTCAGTGACGCTATGTTGGCTGTCACCATTCACCTTAATTACCATGTGCTTCAGCACAGTTTCCAGGAGGATCTGCTCCAGGATCTTGCCAGGCACAGAGGTGAGACTGACTGGCCTGTAGCTTCCTGGGTCTTCCTTTGATATGGGGGTTATGTCTCCCCTTTTCCAGTCACTGGGAACTTCACCAGACTGCCATGACTTCTCAGACTTTATGGATAGTGGCTTAGCAACTTCAATTGCCAGTTCCCTCAGGACCCATGGAATGCACCTCATCACGTGCCATGGACTTGTGCACCTTCAGGTTCCTTAGATGGTCTCAAACCTGATCTTCTCCTACAGTGGGGAGTTCTTTGTTCTTCCAGTCCCTGCCTTTGCCTTCTGCAACTTGAGCAGTGTGTCTGGAGCACTTGTCGGTGAAGACTGAGGCACAAAAATCATTGAGTACCTCAGCCTTCTCCATATCCCAGGTAACCAGTTCTCCCATTTCCTTCCAGAGAGGGCCCACTTTTTCCCTAGCCTTCCTTGTATCACTGACATACCTACTGAAGCTTTTCTTGTTGCTCTTGACATCCCTGGCCAGATTTAACTCTATCAGGGCTTTAGATTTCCTAACCTGATCCCTGGCTGCTCGGACAATTTCTCTGTATTCCTCCCAGGTTACCTGTCCTTGCTTCCACCCTATGTAGGCTTCCTTTTTGTGTCTGAGTTTGTCCAGGAGCTCCTTGTTCATCCATGCAGGCCTCCTGGCATTTCTCCCTGACTTCCTCTTTGTTGGGATGCATCACTCCTGAGTATTGGGGGTGTGATCCTTGAATATTAATCAGCTTTCTTGGGTCCCCTCTTCCATCCAGGGCTTTATCTTAGGGTCCTCTACCATGCATGTCCCTGAAGAGGCCAAAGTCTGCTCTTCTGAAGTCCAGGATAGTGAGCTTGCTCTGCACCCTCCTCACTGCTCTATCCTCTAAGGATCTTGAACTCCACCATTTCATGGTCACTGCAGCCAAGGCTGCCCTGGATCTTCACGTTTCCCACCAGTCCCTCCTTGTTGACGAAAACAAGGTCCAGCATAGCACCTCTCTTTGTTGGATCTCCTATCACTTGGAGAAGGAAGCTATCATCAATGCATTCCAGCAACCTCCTGGACTGCTTATGCCCTGCTGTGTTGTCCCAACAGATATCATTGTGGCTGAAGTTCCCCATGAGGACCAGGCTTGTGAAGGTGAGGCTGATCCTGTCTACCTACAGAGGGCCTCATCTACTTGGTCTTCCTGGTTGGGTGGCCTGTAGGAGACCTCCACTATACTGTCACCTGTCCCTGCCCTGCCTTTAATCCTGCCCCATAAGCTCTCGGTAGACTCCTAATCCTTCCCCAGGTGGAGCTCCATGCACTCCAGCTGTCACTGACATAGAGGGTGACACCCCCTCCTCGTCTGCCCTGTCTGTCCTTCCTAAAGAGCCTGTATCCTTGCATTCCAGCACTCCAGTCATACAAGCCATCCCATCATGTCTCTGTGTTGCCAGTAAGATAATAGCCCTGCAGGTATGTGCATGTCTCTAACTCCTCTTGTTTATTCCCCATGCTGCACACATTTGCAGAGGCATTTAAGTTCACTCCAATTTGTAACCCAAAGCTTGGATCATAGAATGATAGGATCATAGAATCATAGAATATGTCAAGTTGGAAGAGACCCATAAGGAGGGGTTCTAGACCCTGCTCCTTGCAGGACTACCTAACACTAAGCCATATGACTGAAAGAGCATCATCCAGATGCTCCTTGAACTCTGACAGTCTTAGTACCATGACCACTTTCCTGGGGAGCCTGCTCCAGTGACCGATCACCCTCTTAGTGAAGAA